TCAGGCAAGAATCCAACCGTGTCCAATTTGTTAGGATTTGATGGAGAAGACTATTGTTCTTGCTTTGGCAACCGGTCAGAAAAAATTCAGTGCATCTTTATGCAAACTTGTTGAGAAATATGCTGAAATTTTGGCCAGTCAGGGTCTTTTAACAACTGCAATGGAGTATTTGAAACTTTTGGGGTCTGATGAATTGTCACCTGAACTTGTGATCTTAAGGGATCGAATTGCTCTCTCTACAGAACCTGGTATGCTTATAATGATGGCTTCTATTACTTTTACTAAAATTTCTGGTCTAATTGGTGAGGTTTTGAAGAGGTTTTATTGCTTCGTTGGATAGTTGCTTTTTAAGGTTTTCACCTTTTGTTTTCATTATAATTAATCATGTTCAAGCTATGCACCATTCCCATTTGGTTTCATAGTGAAGAGAAACCAATACCGATTTTGTTGGGTGAAGACTAGTAAAACAATGCGTTCCCTGATTAATATCCCTCTGGTCTCATTAACATATTGTTTTTAAGTCTGTCTCTTTCTATTTCTGCATATGGGAAGTTAAAAATTCATCATATAATAATTTTCAGAAATTAAAATAAAAAAGAGAGTCTCATAATAATTTTTAAATCTTTTATATTAGATAATCTAGCATCCTTATGCATATATATATATTTAAAAAATCTAGTATCCTTGTGCATAAAGATAATTAACTTGGTCTTTTGTGGTTGAACTCTCTGAATTTCTACCACATTCTCCATAGGTCCTCTTATCTCTTTCTTCTCCGAGCTGATAATTGTAGGGACCACTCATAATAACGAACTTGCAAAATGAATATTTTTTTTTTGAAAGAAAAAGTTAGAATAAAATTAAAATGGCACCAAAGGGGGTACTGCCCGTATACAAAGGAATTTACAGAGACGTAAGGGTATCAATGACATCTCCAAAACCTTCATCCCTAATAATGTCATGCCCCAATATACAAGACCCAAAATACTTAAACCACCTATCTCTAAGTTTGTGTCTATCAACTTCTACACCCTCAAATTTCTTTCCAAATGACCTAAAAAATAGTCAAAGGAATAATTTTTACAATATGCTTTGTGGAGTGAATCCCATCCCATGCCCAAACTTCTGTCATCACCGAACCTGAAGAGACCCAAACAATACCCAGTAAGTTATAAATCATACACCACAACTCATACACCACCGGGCAGCTAAAGGAGGAGGTGGCAGCAGGGCTCCTCTGCCTCCCTGCACATAAAACAGCAATTTGGCAAGCCCTTTTTTGTAATCAGTCAAGAGTCAGAATGCGTTCCTGGCAAGCCTGCCAGCCAAATGGATATGTTTATCATTTAGAGATTCATTGTTCCTGACTCATAATTCACTTCAATTGTTATTTAAACAAGTCAAAATCTTGTTTTGGTCTGAGCGGGGATAGTATTTCTCTTCTGCATGTTCATGGAGAGTTTTGAAAAATTGAAACATCTTAAAGATAGATAGAGAGGTAGGAATTAATCAAATGAACTACACTCCAGGTATGTTAAGAGTTCATTGATGAGAAGAGGTTGGGAAAAGCCCAGTTCCTACAGTGATGAATATAAACACAATTGAAATTCTTGAGGAGTTATACATTTGTGTATTGATAACATAGATCATTCACTATTTTTGGTTTAAATGAAATAGACAAACCAGAGGACATGTTTATATGTAGGTATCTGCACCCTTGAATGTTGGGCCATGTCTTCAATAGTGATGCAACAGTTTTTGGTGCCTCTCAATGCAGTGCTTGTAACAAAAATGATTGTGACAATTCCTCATTTAAATGGCTCTTTTGTTTTTGTTAGACTCTTAATTCTTCTCAAGCATCTAGCTATCGTCCAAAATGTTCTTTTTATTGCTGCAATTTTGGTGCTAGCTGATGTTGTTACTACTGGTGCAGAAAAAGAAACTAATACTGTGGCTTTTGACAATTCTCAATCACAAAGCTCTCAGATATATTATCAGGTTTATGGTCTTGCATTCTGTCGTATGTAATCTTCTTTGAATTTTATTTGGTTAGTTTTGTAAACTATCTTTTCTGGTCAGGAGTCAGCATCATCACAGTTGCCACAGAGTGTTCCTGGTAGTCCATATGAGGATAACTATCAGCAACCTTTTAATTCAACCTATGCAGGTGGGTATACTCCTCCGACATCATATCTGACTCAACAGCCACGTACCATGTTTATACCCCCCCAGCCTCAGCCGGTTCCTCAGGTATTTTGCACTCCTAGATTCTTTTAATAGAGTTCCTAAAGGTTTTCTGGTATTTGTTACTGGTTGAATCTGATTGGTCCGCTTGTGTGTTCGGGCTTCATACGAAGTTTGTAGGCTTGTGATTAGTCTTTGTAGGGTGTAGTTTAGTCTATGGTGTGGGATATGGGTGAGTGGGATTTCCTGCAACAAATTCCTGTGTGGACCATGCTTAACGAATCTATATATATATATATATATATATATTGAAATATAAAATATGAATTGTATTGATATAGGCATCAAGGGGATGCTGCGCACGTATAAAATTTACAGATGTCAACAAGTTCGGCTAAATCCTCTTTTTAGAGCAAAGAGGATGACCCCGTAACAAAAAACCAAGACTTTGGAACTATCTATTTTTAAGAATATCAAAACCATTTACATCCTCAACCTCATAAAAAACCTTTCTATTTCTCTCATTTCAAACCACCCAGATATATATTTTCAGAAGTAAAGAAGCTGAACATCCAAAGCATTCCCTGTTTTTGCATTTAGAAAATTGAAAATTTCTTTAGTTCTCCTTTATGCAAGTATTAGCCTTTGATCATCTTCTGATAATTTTTTAACGTAGGATAAGGTTGTTTCTGTTAATATGAAATATGCCTTTTTTGTGCATTGATTTATTTTGCTTTCATTTTCTCCGTAGGCAAATTTTGTCCCTGCTCCTGCTCCTGCTCCTGCTCCAGCTCCTGCTCCTGTTAGCACTCAGTCAACCATGAGAACAACCTTTGTTCCTTCAACTCCCCCGGGGCTGAGAAATGCTGATCAGTATCAGCAGCCGACTTTGGGTTCTCAGTTATATCCTGTCCGTATATCTACATTTTCTTTCCTATTGGACGATATGAATATCTTGCTCTCACTGTATGCTGAAATATTTTGCATTTCTGCTCAGGGAACTGCCAAACCTACCTATCCTGTACCGCCTGCACCTGGTTCCCTAGGACCTGTTCCTTCTCAAATCGGCCAAGTTCCTGGTCCTAAAATGCCACAGGTTGTTGCTCCCAGTCCCACACCTGTTGGGTTTATGCCAATGTCTAGTGCAGGGGTTGTTCCAAGACCTGGATTGGGTCCAATGCCATCAATGCAACCAACTAGTCCAACTCAGCCAGCATCTGTGCAACAAAATATTGTGCCTGCAGCTCCACCTCCGACAGTGCAGACTGCTGACACTTCAAATGTTCCGGGTAATTTCTACTTCTCATTGTTTTAGTTAATAGTACATGGAACTTTTTGAATTCATTGTCTTAGGTTTATGCAAGCTGATAGTGACTGTTGACAGGGCACTTCCTAATTTCCTGTAGTCTAATAATATTGCTGCTTTGCTGATAATTTTCTGTAGTCCACCAAAAGCCTGTCATTGCAACATTGACAAGACTTTTCAATGAAACATCGGAAGCACTTGGAGGCTCCCGTGCAAATCCGGCAAAAAAGCGTGAAATAGAAGACAATTCAAAGAAAATAGGTGCCTTGTTTGTCAAACTCAACAGTGGGGACATTTCTAAAAATGCAGCTGATAAGCTTGCCAAGCTTTGTCAAGCTCTGGACAATAATGATTTCAGTACTGCCCTACAAATACAGGTTTAACTTCTAGAAATACAAGATTTATCATCATCATCATCATCATTATTATTATTTTTATGAGTGTATATATGAATGTTGGCAACTGAAAATGGTGTTGTTCTGTTTTGATTTGCTACAGGTGCTTCTTACTACCAGTGAGTGGGATGAATGCAACTTCTGGCTAGCAACCTTAAAGCGAATGATCAAGACAAGACAGAATGTGAGGTGAAATATAAAAAATATCGAGTGTCAAAATCTCATTTTTGGTGTTAATTTCACCTGTGCAGTAAGTCATCTGGGGATGGTGATCGATTTGCACCTTTGGCATACGCTAGAATGACTCCTCTTGATTGCAAAATTTAGAAATCTTAGCCTTTTATCTTCACTTCATACTCTTCTACATGATTTTGGTTTGGCATTAAATTGAATTTTTCTCAGAGGCAGTTAGTAAAGATAGTCTGCAAGACAGTAAGGGGATTCAGTTTTGAGTCATCTTTTTTTTTTTTTTCATGAGTTTGGTATCTTTTTCTGCATGACCCTTGATGTATAATCCAGGTTTCTGATAAGATATCTCAATAACTTAAAAATTTAGATATTGATTTTATATGAAATTTTTTTCTATTTTTGCAAGTTTTTAAATATATATTTTCATCGTAAAAGTATGTATTTTCTCTGTTATTTTTCACAATGAGTTTCAGAAAAGAACCCTCCATCTCTTCACCGCCATTGTTGGATCATTCGAAGCATTATTAACAGAGTCTTGAATTAACCCTTCTCCATTAATAGACTTCTCTGCATCGTCCATTAATGTAACACCTTAATTTTTTATTATTATTAGTATTATTTTATTTTAATTTTTTTTATAAATATAATAATTTATTATATAATAATATATAATTTTAAATCAGTTTAATTTAATTAAATAGAAATAATAATAATAATAATAATAATAAGGGATAAAATTATTTTTAGAATTTAATTGAAAATAATTTAAAAAAAGGGGTGAAAATTTGAGTTCTGGAAGTATTTTTGAAAAGAAAATTAAAAATTGGAGATCAAAACGTAATTTAAAAAAATTATACCACGTTAGCAGTCCGGTCATCAGTTCCGGCCAACTAGGACACGCCGCGTGTTAGAGACGTTGACGTAGGAGGCCACACGGAAGGGAGCCACGAGGGCGATCCGCGTGTGCGCGATCGAACGGTCGAGATCCGTTCCCGCGCGCTCAGACGGACCAGATCAAAGGCGCGTGCAGATGACCCAGATTGCACGCGTACGAACGACCCAAATTGAATTACGCACGGATGGCCAAGATCGCATCACAATGAACGACCTAAATTCATTCCCTATTTAATCGCGATGGACGGCTCATATTAAAAGCGGAAGGTTATAAATAATCTCATCCACACCCAAACCCTAACCCTAGCCGCCAGAGCTCTCGCCGGAGAAGACAGCCCAGCCACCGGGGAACCGATCGCTGCCACCCACCGCTGCACCGGAGCACGACGGAGCCGCCGTGCCGGGATTCCAAAATTGGCTGAGTACGCCCTGGGTCTGATTTTGAGTTATTTGGGGACATGTGCAAGTACCGTAAGTGTGTTTCAGTTCACAGAAAAAAAAAATTCAGGGAATCTAGGGACTGCCCATAGGCGCAGTGAAAAACCGGTTTTAGACTTCGAATCAAGTAAGGATCTCTCACCCTATTTCCTATCGCGGAATTAAAGTTCAATTGAATGGAAATATCATATTTTTGCAATTAATAGATATGTATAATTAATTAAGGTTGCTAATGGAGTCCGAATCTAATATATTTTTCGGTAAGTTCCTGTTTTATTTATTTTACAGTTTTAAATGCGTTACGGTATGTGGCTTATTTATTCTATGGTTTCAGATGTATGAATCACTGTTTACTTCACTGCTGCTTGGTTTTGTGGATTTAATGTATGCTTGCCTCGTTGAATGCACGTTACTTGTTTAAGTGTTCATGTTTATGTGAGAAGCAGAAAACTAAGAAAAGAATAGAAAAGGGTATATGAATTGATAATGGATAAGTTGACAGCCTCACTAGATATCATGGGAGATGGTGGACGGACTGATTCTATAGGGAACCCTACCGGGAACGTTGTCTCATACCGGACGGGGTATGAAGACTTTAAATATTTTGGCGTCCATACCGGACGGGGTATGGGGACATCCATGGAATTAAGTTGTTAAAGTGAATGATTCATGTGTAGCGGGGACCCCTATGGATCCCCATGGATACTGGTAGGCTGATAAAAGAGGAAAATTGTTGTTTGATGATTGAAATATAAAAGTATAACATGTGCTATGTTACAGAGTGTGTATGATTATATGATATGTATGATCTTATTATTTTCTAAGGGTCGTTTTCATGAATATCACCGAGGTAAGTGGACAGTAAATGATTTTATTATTGATAAATGAATTTGTTAAAAATTGTGCTCCATTGGTTGTTTTTGTTTTCTAC